CCTCTGGCTGATAACATTTGCTTTGAAGGAGCTGGACAGCAGAGGTACACCTTGCTGTTCTGTCTGCAGCTCAGACTGTTCTCAGGCTTCCCTAAGGGAAGTATCAGGCTTCTTGTTTAGAAGCTTATTCTAAGAGGAAGAGTACTTACTGCTACTGTGGACCAGTTTGCACTCCCTACCCCTAAGACAAGAGGAAAGCAGGAATTACTCTCTAGCACGCTCCCTGTGTCACCCCACTGGGAAGGATCATGGCTGGCGGCAGGATGAGTGCCCCTGCCTGTCTGTCTTTGAGGAAAGGGTCTGCATAAACTGGACAATTTTGGGAACCCAGAGAGAGTGCAGGGCAATACCCTGTGGGGTGATTTATGCCTAATCTGTTCCCCTTACATGTGCCTTTTACAGGAACCCCTTTGATTGTAACAATGGGAACGCAGCAGACCTATTTGTGCAGTGAAAATGGAAGAAGCCCCTTGTTGGGCAGATTCCCTACACCCGGCTCTCCTTTGTTTCTGCTGCTGTCTTAGCCCCAGGGCGGGAGGGTTTTCAACTGTGTTGACTAAGATAATTTGGCACTTCTCAAAAGGGAATTTGCTACAAAGGGCGAAGTACCTCCCTGCGCACAAAGAGCCCCTTTCAGAGCGGAAGGATGCTTCAGTGAACGTTTTGTACCCACAAATCCGACCTCCGCCAAGGACAAAGCCAGGGACAAGAACGCTTAATTGCTGAAGAAATGAAAAGGTAAAAAGCACATCCTCAGGCAAAATGACTCTGCTACTGACACAGGCCGCAGCGGCGGCGGGGATCCGGCTGTGCCGGCAGCCAGCACCGGCCCAGCTGCCCGCTCGTACCGCAGCTGGGCTCAGCCCCAGGCTGCTCCCCGCAGGGCACACAGCGGCGACACAAGCTGCGCATCACAGCAGGCGAGACGCTCTGGGGAAACTGAGATGCTCTTCTTGGCCAGCGCCCTAGAGGAGTCGAGACGGAGCAAGAGCTGGGGGGAGCATGGGGCAGGCTCCCGCAGACCTCTGTGCCTGTGCAGCCCATCACCCCAGTGGTGTCCCCAAACCAGTGTGTCCAGGCTACATTAGGGCTCCCAACTGACAGGGCTACCCCGACTTACAGCCTCCTAACAAACTCCACTCAAGACCAGCTGGTATTTCTTTCCCTCTAGCACTTCTTAAATCTAGCACAGCCACACCACGCCACCTTGGAGATCCTTCACTCTGTCTGCTGGTATCTCTGGCCAGGAATCACATCACTGCTATGCATTTAATTCTTAAGTTATTTTTAATCAAGTGTAGACCTCCAGTTTTACAAGTACTTTCCCATCGCTTTTCTCACTGCCTGGTTTAACCAGTAAATAATGTGTAGTGTTGTTACTTGTTTCCTTATTTCTCAGAGGCCAGGTGCCAGTCATATCAGGTGCTGCACAAACCCACTGATTTGCAGCCAACTCAGCCTTTATGCTATGCTGTTTCTTTTGTTGCCTTCCATTATCTCCTATCTCAGATGCCAGATTTGCTTTGCTCACAGCCTCAGACCAGGGGAAATCCAACAGCAAGTTCCAGCCTGGATCTACCCCCTGTCCCAGTCCTGCAGTAACACCCTGGGTGCTTTGGGGAGTTTGCTGATGTTGCTCTTGGGCTCCTCTCTCAAGAGTGGTTCCCTCCTGCAGAAGAGCACCCATCAAGCCCACCAGAGCTGGACTGGCTGGCCTGGACCCTCCATAAAACACTGTTGGCTTGCTCTGCCTCATCCTGTCAGTGCCAGGATGCTCCAACACCCCCATCAACCATTCCCACCAGCAGGGTTATTCCTATGCACTACTTTTGAAACTCTTGTGTCAGTTCATACAGATTTCACACTCCTAATGTTTACATTTGTAGCATGTTAGTACTGTGGCTGTTTTCTGTTTACCAGAAGAGCACCATAACTGATTGGTATCAGCTGGAAAGAATCCAAACATCTATTAACAATGTTCAGAGCCAGTATTTTGAAATTCAGTGAGTTGATCAAAACATATTTTTCATTTATAATTCTTAACTTAATAAATAAATAAACCATGAAGTGATGTGATGAGCTGTACCTTGTCTCCACAAGGGACACAAGCTTCTCCAAATATTGTTACCCAAATCTGAAGAGCCACTTAACGGTCAGTGCTTCATTCTGCCACATTTCTACCCACATCGAAGTATGATGCATCCAAACCCCTGCTGTATGCCTGTCTGCTGCTTCTGAACCCACCTGCCAATAAACCCCCAAATGAGCAGATATCTTCTCTTGTTAGATTCAAGTCACAGCTTGGAAAGAAAGCTGCCTTTTCATTCCTCCCTTTTCAACTTCTTGTCAAATAGACGGAAGAAATAGCAAAATATTCTCACTACATCTACTGTTTATGCTGAGCACAGTATAATTCAGGCAAAGCTACGCTGACCAGTGTCATTGCTGAGATAATGTAAACACAAGTACTTGCTCCTTTGGTAATGGCTGGAAATACTGGATCCTGACTAAGGTACAGGACTTTGGACATACTGATAAGGCTAATACCCAAAAATAAAGCATATGTTCCCTCAACTTTACTGAAAAACTTGTTTTAATTTTTCTAAATTATTTTAGTATAGAACTGCAACTCTAAGGCTCAGCACAGACTATAAAAATTCCCATTCAATTCTAAACCAAGGAAAAATGTTAGCTTTTAACAAAGTTATTAAAGTAAGTCCAAGTTATGTAATTGTTTAATGGTTTTGATTGTCTATCTGTTCTGCTCTGTCATTTCTACTTTTCTGCTCACAGCCCCCTTCATCCTACCCACATCTGTAGGGCATTACCCATAGTGTAACCAATACTCCAGCTGTGGCTGCCCTGCTGCCATAGAGACAGGACGTATCAGTGCTGCAACAGGAACCATCTGTGTGTATGACCCAAAATCACTCTGGATTTTTTTTAACCACCATGCTGCTGTGCTTGTGCTCTCTGCTTTAGTTCAAACAGCTGGGCATGACTACTCTAAATTGTCCCATGCATGCACCAGAAACAGAGGATTTAATCCCAAAACACAGCTAGGAGACACATGCCAACACCTACTGCTTCCTCCCTGCCATGAGAACTGTGCCCACAGTACTCTGATGCAGGGTGCACCAACAGACTGCCAAGGAATCCATTATTTAACTTCCTCCTTTCTCCTAACCTCCACCCTCAAACCTTTGCCTATACCCTTCTTGCATGTTTGTATTTCTGCAAGAAGCAAAGGTCCTGGGGACAGAGGCCGCGCTGTGTAAGTGCCGTGTGTGATCTTTGGCTGGCCGCACAACGCTCCCCATTCACAGCCATTCACAAACCGCGACTGACAGCAGCTCACATGCTCTCCCATGTATTTTAGATGTCAGATAAAAAGGAGCCTGAGACTGCGCTGCAGGGTCCCGTGGTGGGGGCATGCACAACTTCCTAATAGAGAGCTTGTCCCTATCCTTGGTCCCTGCCACAGGGCTGCAATACCTTCCTGGATTTCAAGTGTAAATCCCTACTCTTCTGCAGCTGGAGTCTGAGGTCACCCTGCCTGACATTTGTCTGGCAATTGAAGCAGCATCTATATCTATGACTGAAGTTTCACTAGCAAAGTACAGCACCAAAATGGTATTACTAGCACTACAGCACATCATCCCCAATTCTCTTTGCATCTGCTCAGTCCACGCTCTACTCAAAAACCATCGCCAGGCTTGACTAGTGGTACTTGGCTGGATGCAGCTTGCCCCTTGGCCAAGCATTCCATGTGGCAGATTCTCTCCTCACACTTGCGCCCTAGGCTTCATGCTGGAATGGAGTTTAGTGCATCCGACAGGAGCTGCCAGCTGACTCCTCCACAGATCAGACCCCGTTTTGGCATTAACTTGCAATACGGTGTATTCCCATCACTTTGCACCTCCTCTCCCAGTCTGACTGACACTGGAGATCAAATCTGCTGCTTTCCATACTATTGCATATAGCCAGCGAGGACTGAGCTGCTCTTACCCTGTCCTGTTCAAACTCCTCCTATTGCCACTTTTCTCAATCGTTCCTTTCACCTACTTTTAGCAGCAGCATTCTTTGAAAGAGTACTTCTTAAACACAGCTCTGCTGCCTGAATGACTTTTCCTCCAAAGAACAATTTCAAGATGGAAAACAGCTTGTTTTAACCATCCAGTAGTCTTCCTTACTATCCACTCTCCCAATCCGTTCTTGTCATCCCCATCAGGTCCCACCAGCTGGCTCCCAGTCTGCCCAGTCCTTCATTGCCTGCTGAAGTTTCCCATTCCACAATCCGAGCCCGGCACCCAGAGGAGCTGACATTGCCTGCTCCCGGCCGAGGGGCTCCCAGGGCCGCCTGCCCGGGGGACACTGCGGGGGCGCAGGCTGCCGGGATAAGGGAGCATGGCCGCTCCGGAATCTGCCCCGGGAGCGTTTCGGCGGGGAGGGGAGGAGAGACGGTGGCTGAAATCTATCGTGTCTTAGGTTTCTGGTAGAGGAGATTTGGCATGCCTGGCAGGACACCAATTGCTAATTTGACTGCAGCCGGACCCCTCTCTCCCACCTGGGATGCCTGGGATCTTCCCGGGCACTAGGTCACGGCACTCGGCCCCGAACTCAGAAAGCCTAAAGCATCCCCTTTCCTTCAGCCTCTGTGCAGTGCGAAGACCTGAGGCTTCCGGAGAATCCCGCAGGCCAGGAATGGGCTCTGCTCCTCAGCGAGTGAGGAAACAGCCGATAAGAAGGGGTGCCCCAAACCCTGCTTCTCCCCGCTGCTGCTTCTCTCTCTGGAGCTCCGGGCGGCCGGGCCGCGGGACACGTGTTGGATGCTGCTCCCGTCCGAGATGCACAGCTACCTCCGAGGGAGCCCCAGCGACCGCCCAGGTGACCAACTGTTCCCCTCAGCTTTCCCGGGCACGGGAGGGGGTGCAGAGGCTGAGGAAGAGTTCGCCCTAGCACCTTCCCGGCTCTCCGTATTTCCCCAAAGGTCACCCTACCTCCGCCAGCTTGGAGCTCCTCTCCTTCGGGCTATTGCTGCGCTGTTTTCCCCTCACGGGCAGCCCTCTCACCGCAGCCAGGAAAGTTGTCAGGAAGACGAATCCGAGGATGAGCACGACTTTCCCTCTAATCAGAGGCATCTCTCCCTTCCTCTCCCCACCTCACACGTTCAGGGCAGGCGGTCTGGCAGCACGCCCGTCCTCAGTGCTCCAAATCCTGTCCTCCGAGAGGAGCAGTAAAAGCGTAATAATTTATATCTATATATCTATATATCTATAGATATATAGACATACAAAAACCACCGGAGCCGGGAAGTGCGGTGCCCCGCGGAGCGGGCAGGGGCCGGGGTAGGGTCCGCCGGCCCGGGCCACTCCGCTCCCTCTGATCGCTCTTGCAGTTTGCCGAGCACCTTCCGCTGTCGCGGCTCCCCCGGGTCGCCTGCCGGTACTGATGCTGAAGGGTAACTCTGAAAAGCTTCACAAATGTGTGCGGGGAGGGAGGAAGGGAGAGAGCTTCGGCTCCCCACCCCACTTCCTAATCCTTTCGGCAATCCGATTTCTTTTCCTCTTCTTCTCCTCCCCTCATCGAGTCACTCCCCGGTGCTGCCGCGGCTCTGCAGGCAGCGCCGGGCATCGGAGGGCGGACGGGAGGCCGCTCTGTGGGGAGAGGCTCTTGCTCGCATGAAGCGCCTCCAGCCCCTCCCGGGCGACCGCAGCGGCTGCCGGCCCCGGGCACGGCCCCGCCGCGCCCCTGCCCCGCTCGGAGGCTGCAGGCACGGCCAGACCTCCCCCCTCTCTCTCCGGGCGCTGCCCCCTCCGGGGCGCCACCGCCCGCTCCGCTCCTCCCCTCCCGGCAGCTGCATGGCCGGGGCGGCCGCCGCCCCCTCCGCCCGGCGGTGCCCGCGGGGCGCTGCCCCTGCGGCGGGGCCGACCCGGCTCGGGGCTCTTTGTTCCGCGCCTCGGCGGCGCCGGCCTCGCACAAGCCCCGCGGCAGCCCCGCCGGGGCAGCCCCGCCGCCGCTGCGCCCTCCCGGCGGGGCGGGGCGGCCGCGGGCCCCAGCGGCTCCGGCCCGGCCGCACGAGGCGGGGAGGGAGGATGGAGGCGCCTGGACCGAGGGGTGGGAGCGGAGACGCGGCCGGGCAGGGGGCTCAGAGCCTCCCGCCGCTCCCCTGGCGAAAAGAGCTTGCAGAAGGCGCCCTTTTCCCTTTCTCCGAGCGCCAGCGCTGGGGCCGCTCTGCGGGAGGGGGGGGTCGGGCCCCCTGCCCCGGGACCGGCCCCCGACAGACAGAAACGGGACTCTGTGCTCCCCGGTGAAAGCCCCGGCTGTTCCCGAATTGCGGGAGAAAGTTTCTACCACTCAAAAAACGTCTTTATTCCATGATCTGCTCTCTTGTATGCCGGCAGCATCTTATCCAGCCTTCAAAGCCTGTTGGAAACATGGAGTGGCTGTTTACTTGGGGTATAGAGACTATCTTCTCCAGGATTTCCACAGGCGTTCATGAGCCTATGAAGGAAATTAGGAAAAGCACTATGAAAAAAATTATTAGGGAAGGACACTGAAAGGAGGCTTTGCAGCCCACTGAGAAGTGCCATTACTGGCACAGTCCCAGAAATGGAGACCTAGAAGGGAAAACCCAACACTTCTACAGCAGCCTTTGCACAAAGCTGCAAGTCACCTGGGCCCATTTGTGTACCCACAGCTAAAATCAGAACCTGCATCTCCTTTTCAAATACCGACATCTGGTTTATGCAGACCTAGGGCTGAGATGAATGGAAGGAAATGTTTAAAATAAGACACAAACTGCAAGACAGATGTGAGGTCAAGAATCCCATGCGAGATGGATCAAGAAGCCCTTTCAAATATCTCATTAGCAGCACGGCAGCTGAGAGCAGCCTGACACTCTAACAGCACCCAAGGGTAGCAGCCTAGCTTTCAAGCACAGCAGCTTTTTGGGGCCAGCACCGAGCTAGAGCAGGCACTCATCGTGGGAGTGCTGCACACCAGGAGCAGCAGCTACGACTGCAGGCGTCTCTCCACAACAGAAGCGGCTTTTCTAGACTACACATCAAAGCTGTTGCTGTACGATGGACCAGAGACTGCCAAAAAACAGCTAAGCATCCATCTCGCATGCAAGGTTTCCTGGCTCTGGAGTACAAGGCTAGAGGGGAACAATGCTCTGTCTGAGCTCTCAAACAGGCTATGGTTTTACGCAGTATGTCATTCCAGTTTGCATCTCATGTACTGAATTTTTCTGAGGCTTTTATTTTGGGGGTGGGTGGGAGAGGGACTGGGAAGGAAAAGAAAGAGGGTTCAGTCTCCTTAATAGGGAAAAGCCTCATTAAGGAAAAAAGTGCCAAAATCATGATACAGTGTTTTTTCAAAGTCTTTATTATGCAGAACATAGAATATATCTGAATGAATTTTTTTCCCAAGCATTTTTTTCTCCAGTGTTTTTTTTAAACATGCATTGTTACCTTTTTTAAGCCAATGTACCATCCATTTATCTTTTTCCCTGCCCACAGAGCATCCATATTCATGTTAATCACAAGTGTAAAAAAAATTAGACATCTGGCATAAAATATTTTGGGGGGAGCCCATTTAAAAATTTTATCTAAAATGTCTTATCTACAAAAAATTCCAATATATATGTACATTATAGCAACACAGAGGTGTAAGAATACAGTGCAATTTAAGATGAAGTGCTGTGACTTGGTAATTCTGCCCAGGGCTTGTGGAAATGTGGGCCACCATTGGCTTTGGGACTGCTAGCCTAAAGCCTCAGGCTCCAGCATTTCTCAGTTCTCTCTCTCTGATGGGTATGAAGTTAATATTGGGAGGCTAGAGCTGCATTAAGCTTAATATACCATTAGAGGGTAGCAGAAATACTGTCTGAATAGGATGAGCTTTGGCAAAAAAAAAAAAAGGAATGTTTACAAAGATCCGATGGTTTGGTGCATGTTTCACTTCACCGTGGGTATTTTTGGAATGGCACCAACCCTTGGCATATTGATGTGAGACCTACCGTTGAGGAAATGAACTTGCTAAGCTGCCACTGGTTCTAAAGTCCCTGACCATCTAAGTCTCCCACTGCCAGCAGCCCAGGAACAAGTGACTGATGGAACTATGCAGGAACTATGTAAACTCCACAGGAACATCAGTGCAGAGAACTGCACTACTTTTGGCTCTCATGTACAGACATCTCCTAAAACAGCTGCCAGGGTCACACACAAATTGAGTTCTGAACCTCTCCCTCCCAAGAAAACAGCAGTACATACTGCTTAACTAAGAGCACCGAGTATTCTTCCGTGGGTTAAAATCCACTGCATTCTTCAAAGTCAGTCTTAATTTCAATTCTTCATACCAAGAATCACAGTTTAAGGCCTTCAACACACACCACAGTCATCATCTGCTTTCCCCAGCCCCTTTTTGGGATATAAGCACAACAGCTCCAATATCTGCAACAAATGCTTCTCTTTTTAGTGAAAGGTAAAGCACACCACTTCACACAAATACTTTATGTTTGTGCTCTAGTATTATGTCTGAATCCTTGAACAGGTGAGCAACTGCAAGACTGGGAATGTCTACAGGAATACAAAGCCATCAGAATGGCATTGGAGATTTTTTTTTTTAAAACCATGTTAGGATTATGCAGGTCAAATGACTCGTGCTTTTCCTAAATAGTGGTCCAATGCCACTTGGGTGTCAGGTCCAGCACCAAAGCCAACAGTGCACCTGCTGAGGGGTCATACTAAGCATTCCTAAATAGCTCAGCACTTCACTAGTGTGGAACAGACTGGAGGTGCCTCAAATCTCCATGCAGAAGGTGCTACCCATACAGATCCCAGCATGCTTGACACTTTCATAGGCTGAATATAAACTGCAAAAATAATATATATAAACTGTATACATTCTGACTGAGCATTGTATATTGGGATACATCTCCTTCTTGGGATACAATTTTCCTTCTCTGTGATGCAGCAAGGGGGCTCATTCATAGTGCTCCATATCCAGTGCTGCAAGGTGCTCTCTTAGATGAAATGAAGACTCATGCTCATGCTTTCCTCCAACCTCTCCTACGATCTCCCTGAATAGATAACATGGCTTCTGAACAAGCAAACAGCTATAAGCTAAATGCTTTTCAGAGGTAAAGAAATCAAAATTTGCACAGAAGGAGAAGAATTATTTACTTGGTGTGGAAAAGTTGTAGAGGAGTGTCCATTCAGGCACTGAAAGCTGCATTCCTGGTTTAGGGATATTTGTTCAAGCACATGAAAGATCCCTGTACAGCTGAAAATAAGCAATGATTGACTATCCCTTTTCTCCATCTCTGTTGTATCAGACCTTCATCCACACAGCACAGAATTGCTGACTTTATGGGCACACTTCCCTTGCCTTTTCTTTGCGAAGCTGAGTACCACATCTGCACTCTTAGCAAGAGGATTGATAATCCAACTCCTTTAGATGTTTGGTCAACTCGCTCCTGAGTCTTTGCCTAAAGGAGAAGCATACTACATCTGTAACTCAAGAACCAGAACTGTTCATTAAGGATGCTACTTGGAGGAGAAAAGACACAGCAACTAATGAGTTAAATATATCATATACATACATACAAAACTTTGTATCATGTAAAAAACAAAAATGAAGACCCTGAATATTCAGACACAAAAAAAAATGGTTCCTTCTCTGCCAAAGAACTAAAGGAAAACTATGAATCAGGTTCCTTAAGACAAAGATCTACTTGGGAAGGCCAGTTTCTAACAAGAAGCAGATCTCCCACTCTTTGCTGATGCTCGGTAATAGGAGCTTCTCAATTTTCTTATGAGTGAAAGAATATGGCCATTAGCCTTAAAAACAGTAATGGTTCTAAACGCTTCACTCTGCTCAACAGAGGCAAAAACTTGCTTGCTTAGTTCTTCAGAGAGGTACTGGGAAGGTAACTATTGTATATTTATGAGTTTAGCCAATATATAGTACTGGGCAAAAATCCTTTGTTCAAAAGCAGCCTTGATTTTCTTTTCAATTTTGCATCTCTTAAGAAATACCAGGAGTCATTTTCAATTAGAATGTCTCTGAAAAGTTGGCAGGGACTGAAGTTTTATTTCTTAAGCAGCTTTTCTTCCTTTGTGATCTCTCAAGATTGGTTCTTTCATTCATTCCTACTGCCAGGAGAAAAAGGAGACAGATTTCTGGTCAGTACATAAATATCAAAGCAGCAATCCATCCTACACATACCGTGACAGCATACATACTGTAGGGTTGCTTAGCACAAGCCCTTACTTGAGTTTTTTTAGTAGATGCAAAATGGTTTTCTTGGCTTTCAAGCTCAGTGAATTACTAAATTAAAAGTGTGAAATCTTGGACTTGTAACTCTTACTTTTTCCAAAACAGTTTCAACAGGTTTCATTATTTTTACCAGACTTTGGCAAAACAGTCTCTCTTGAACAAAAGGCCTCAGAGAGGAGTGAGGGGATTTGCTTCCCAAAAAGGATATGGCAAGGCTGAAATGTAACCAAGCAGTTTGCAAATGCTAACTGCCAGAATTATTTCCCAAGTGTCTTTGCAACCCAAATTTAAAGTTATATGCAGACAGTGTGACACAGCAAAAAGATACTAAAAGGCAGAAGCTTGAACACAATTTCCTCCAGAGCTGCAACCAGAAACCAAATAGGACACTAGTAATTTTTAAACACTGACCATTTCAGAAGTATTACACAAGATTTATCTATATTATGAAGATTTTCCAGATGCTTTTCTCCCTTCCAAAGACAAGCTGCTCTAAAACTGATTCCCAGAGACAAGGTTAAGACTCAACATTTGTACAATCTATGATAACCCACTTCTAATTTAATGCATCACAGTTTCCAAACTGACTTGACGACACAGCAGACAAACACAGTGTACATTTGTGAATGCTTAAGAACAGCTACCTACTGATCCAAGCCTTTAAATTGGTCAGTTTTGTCTGCTCTTAAACCATTTCATGATCAAGTTATCAGGATCAGGGCTGAAGTCAGGGCTTCTTGTACTAACCTCCTCTTGTTCCCTAGTACAATCCAGAGAGAAAAAAAGCCAATAATTCTTTGAGGTAAAGCTTCTTGAAGTCAGAAAGCAGGTAATCTGCTGGAATGTTAGAGCTAGTCCTGGGCAGAACACGGGCAAGAAAGTAAGCTCAGCTAACTGCTGTTTATTCACTCTGGCTCAACACGTGAGATTATTTCATAGCTATCCAAGATGCACATACAGACTTCTCAGACTCTGCACTCACTCAGCTCCACAAGAAGAGCCAACCAACATTAATGGACTAAGACGGAAATAGTTATGTGGACTTATTTTCAAACAGTCAATTTCAGTTCTTCTCATATAATTAAATTTCTGAAATTCATTGGTAAAAAAATGAACCAGTGTTTTGAAGTTCCATTACATTAAAATGTAACAAGATCTATAAATGCATGAAGTTAGACAGTCTATAAAACAGAAGACAATTCTGCTTTAACTCACCACATGTATTTGCAGAACTGCTTGGTTCTAGTGGCCAAAACACTCCCTCCCTGTTAGTTACAGAGTGAACACTGAAGAACTTTAAAAGAATAATTTTTTTTTTCAGCACCACACAAAGAGCTTTGAGTTGCTCTCTGCTTTACTATTATGATGATAAGTCTGTTTCTAAAACCTCAGTAACCTGCAAAAAATATCTTGCTAACTCTGAGGAGCTGGCCCAACTCAATTGACACCATGTTAACATTTTACTATCTTTGCAGAAATTGTGAATGTCTAAATACAAAATACAGAAACAAACTATACTGCAATTGACTCATATTTAAAATTTTGGTACCTTTTTGTTGATCCACTCTGTTCACTGAAAGAATTCAAGATGTAAAGACTAAGTAGCAGACCAGTTCTAAGGTGTGTTAGAGCAAAGGCATCTATTTGAAACAGAGGGACAGAATGAAACTTGCAAATAAAGACTCTAAGCAGTAACTGGCTCAGCCAACACTCATTTGAGCAGTGTTGATCAGTAACAGAAGTACAAAAGAATAAAGATATCAAACTAAATGCAATTGTGAGGACATTCTCTCTCTTCAGGGAAGGTCTATGGACATGCAGTTGCCAATGGGGACTTTGCTGGCCAGCCAAAATGTAATGTATGACTACAAGATTCAAGCTGTCAATATGTGTAAGGGCCAGTGAAGAACACCTCACAGATGACAAGAAACAGTGAGTTAGCATAGCAAAGGGCAGCAGTCTTTCACATGACCTCCATGAAATAGATGGGTCTCCTAATAGTCACCCCTCGTATAGGCCTGCTTATTGAGGGGGCTTAGTCTTAAGACTAAGCAGGAGACTTGCTTTAGTTTGTTTAAACCCTTCTAGGACTTAGTGATTTATTCATGACTTTAGGATAATTCTAAAGCAAGAGAAACTAACCTGAAGGTGAGAAGGCAACACACACAACACCCGTATTTTTTCTTTTTTTTCTTTTTTAAACAGAAGTATTAAAAACAAAGCAAAACAAACCCCTCTCCATCACTTACCCTCTATCAAAGGGACAATTAGTGTCAAAACCAGGAGACAATCTGGTATCCATACTGGGAAGGAAAAGAGGCTACAGTTCCAGAAGTCCTTCTGCCTGTGGCTTACAAAATTAAATAATGTTTGGGAACAATGGTCCTGTCAGTGACATGTCAACAACACATTTATTTTAAAAAGGCTAAATTCAAGTTTTAAACATAAGTAACTGCAAATGAAAAAAAAACCCAACAACTTTGGTTGATTACCCATCTTGTTAAAATATGTCAAAGTTAGCAATCAATAGTTTCTCTAGGAAGTCTCCAGAAACAGACAGGTCAGTTCATTCCTTATTTGGAAGATCAGACACTTAGCAGTGACACTGAAAATGCTGCCATGCCAGCGTCACACATGCTCACAACATCTCAGCCAGCATTTGGGAGGCTAATGGTGCATACAAAGTCTGAACTGATCAGCCATGGACAACTTGGGTTGCTGTGAATTCATTGAGACAAATAAATAAAAAAAAAAAACAGGAAAAAAAAATAAAGCCAAGCACCTCTAGGGCCAGACCCTGAAGACATAGAAATCAAATATTTTTTTTCTCCTCTCTCTATTTACAAAATGCCATTTAGAGCTGATGTGGCCACTTCAGTATTGTGAGGAAATGTCTGTTATACTAAGCAGTCAGAAGTGTGTTGTTCACGGATGTAGTGGCCTGTGTGCCACGGAGTGTCCCATGGGTGTGTCCCTCCCACTGAGGCACGTGGAGGGAGTTCAGTCTTCTGTTTCTTCATACGTTGTCTCGTCAAACGGCCGGTCCAACAGAGGTACCAAACGGCGACGGGAATATTTCAGTTGTAAAAGGTCCCCAACTTCATTGATTTCTTTTAAAGCCTGACAAAGAGACCACAGTAGATCAGCAGAGGAGACAGATGCAAGTTATCTGCACATTTTGCTTTATGCATACTACTGCAGACCACTCTGACAGCCATTTTAATTGAGATTTCACTGTGCTGGTACCTTCACAAGTGCACAGAATTTTAAAATTTTTATTTTATTTCAGCGTTCAGAAATTTTGAGACTACATGAACAGTGCTAGTCACTTAACTGAGAGTGCCTATGCATCCACCTGACTACTCCAGTTCCAGAACAGGATCACAATATCTAGCAAACCTCATGACTATTTATAGGTAGAAAAACAGAATAATGTTCTTCCCTTCCTGGAGGTAATGAAGCCGAAAATAGAAAAAAAATATACATCTTGTTTGAGGTTTGACTCCCCCTTATGTATCATTCAGTTTGAAAACAAACTGTGCTAGAAAACCTGATCTACTGTATTTTTTAAATTGCAAAACAGCAAAGGCAAACTATAATAGTGAGCTAACAAGTTCTATAGATGCATTTGTTATATCTACATTTGCTTAATTTGCATTGTCCATATACAACTAGACATGCAAGCTATGTCTGATAAACAACATGACACAGGAGATTTTTGCCAGGCAATCCAAGAAAATAAAAATAAAAAGTTATTCCGTTTAGGACTCTAAGCATTTTGTCCTTGGAAAGCAAGTCCCACTGAGGTTGCCATAAAGGCAGCATTCAAGCAACTGATGACCCAGAACACTGCTACTGAATTAGCACAGCCTTTCACCATTTTGACCTGAACTCAAATATTATGAAGTTTACCAGAGATCAAACATCTGCTTGCATAAGAAATGAGGGAAGTCCCAGCTCAGTAAATCATACTTCCATTATGTTGCAATCTCTGATAAGACATTGGTCACACACAATAGGGTCTGTTAAAAGCCAAATCCTAAACTTCATTTCTCTACAGAACGTTCCTAGAGCAATGTACAAAATAAATCAGTTGCTGCAGACAAATCTGTGATAGCGTGTGATGCTAGTTATTTTATACAGGCACCTGACAAAAATTAATTCAGAAGATCACTTCCAAGTCCAATGTGATGTTTTTGAATTCAAAGGCTGGCATTCTTTGCTGTCTTGAATTATAAATTTATTGAGATAGGTACATTCAGCACTGCTTTGGAATGTCACTAATTCAACATTAATGCTCCAATCTGGGTCAAATGCTTGTCTCTTGAGGACAGTTGGCAGATGGGGGTTAATAGCTCTACGTGTTTTTTCTTCCTAGATGGATAGTTCAAGTTTTTGTTTCTTTAAACAATGGCCCTTCATGCTTGTTATATCTGGCAGCTAAAACCTCTGCACTCTAAAATCTGGGGAAACGAAAAACCCAGAAGTAGGATCTCAGAAAAACAAAACAAAACAAAAGTGTGGGCACAGTCTGCCAAAGCTTTAAGTAAAGATCCCATATGGAAGCAATTTAAAGCTGAATTTCTGTTGAAAGAGTACGTTAACTGTTATTCTTGAATGCAGATTTAGGATTTTATTAATTTAAAACAAAAAGGGCCATGTGACCAGCAAAGACTACAAAGGAAATGGCATTGGTGTACTCTGACTTTAGGAGAGTGTAATATATTTTTCATCACTGAAAAGAAAGCACAGCCCACAGCGATGCAGGTTATGAGGGACTTCACTCTGATCCTAAGCCAAATATTTTTAGGCAAGGAAGTTTTATTTACATAGAACAGTTAAAATTTTAACTAAGAACTGTTCCTCATCATGTGGGTGTATTTAATAAGAACAAGGAAGCATTACAAATATCACTATTCGCAAGACAAGCTTCTCTTCCCTATGCTTCAAACCTGGGTAAGTTTTGTTTAAAAAATACCACAAGAGCCCTAGTTAGCATCTGTGAATACACAGATGGGATACCAAGTTGTCCTCTCTGTCAGTGACTTGAAGAAGCTGTCTGCCAGCTTTCCCCAAGTCCATTCATTTTAATTCTTCCTGCTCCTGGTATTGTTGCCACAGTTAGCAGAGGGATTAGACCTGAGGTCTGCCTTAACGATTAGCTGCCTGAAATCAATCCCTTTTCACTGCATCCCAAGAAAACACAGCACAAAGTAACTGACACAAAAATTTGCTCCTTATTAACTCCTCTTGCCAATGTTCTGGGTTCTGAGCATGCAGCTATTTTGAGCCATAAAGGAGGTTACGCTAACTTGGAAAAAAGCCTCCACATACTGAGCTAAATCAAGGTTTCCTCATTCACTTCAAAACTCACACCTCATTTTGCTCTGGATTAATTTTCTTAGCAGACAAGCTCTAATATACTGAACAAGCATTTCCTCAATCTAGTACATTTAACACTTACAGACGTACTCTAGCAATGAGTCTTATGTTAAATGCACAAAATTTGAAACTTTTTTTGGAAAATGCAGAAAGAATTGACAGGAAAAGAAGTTTTTAAAGAAGAGTAATAAAAGTTACAGATAGATTTTGGAAGAGAGCAAATGTGGTACTTATACAGACCCTACAAAAGCACCTTATTATGGCAAAAGCCCCAGCTACTCACTAAAAGAGAAGACCAAGAACCCTACCAACTGTAAAATTGCACGATTGCTCAGGTACTACATCAAGTTTGTACAGTTTCAGTTTTATCTCAATTTACAGCTATATGATTTCAGAAACTTCAGTTTTCTTTATTTTCCTTCCTCCCACTTCTTATCCATTCATCCCCACTCCATGCCCTCCTGTCCAGAAGTTACTGCTCCCTAATTTGTGTCAATGAACTCAGGTCTATTACCACACTCTGAGACAAGTCTGATACTATTTATTTTATACAGGGGGAAAGGAAGCAAAGGAGAGGATCTTCTCTGAACATAGTGGTTCAAAACCTTTATTTGGAACAGAAACAATTAAACTGAAATAATTAAAGGAAGAGTAGCAGGACAAGAGGCTGAGAAGGAATGCTTAAGCAGTCTGTTGTTGGAGTGTTATGTTAGGGAATCTCTCACAAGGCAGAAACAACTGAGGAGCAGCAAGTACAGCACCACAGATAAACAGTGGGTTGATACTACTCAATGACACTACACATACATTACGAAACTGCTCACACCACACACTGCCTTACTAATTTTTTTAAAAGAACTTAAATTCAAAAAGCATATTATTTTAAGCTGTTGATTTTTATATGTTCTGCAGCAGTCAAGTGTGAAAAGGTTGAATCTATTTTTTTTACAAAACATTAGTAAATATCTGTTAGATATCCTATTTGCTGTTCACATATTCACATGTCAGGTGATCATATTTGGACATTGGACATGATTTCCCCTTCCTAACTCCGTGACTACTCCCAAACACCTTGTCCACAAAATGTTCAAAAAAAGTTTCAAGACTTTTTTTCTCCACAATCTCTTCAAGATAAAGGAAAAGCTTTTCAACCGGCAGTTCTTCACACATTTTTGCCCTTCTTCAAGAAGAAGGTGACATTTGCTCTCTTCCAGTCCTCAGGAGGCTCCCCCAGCCACCATGAACTCTTCCTCCTAAGATGATAATAAGGAGCAGCCTTGCAGTGACAGTTAGCACTTGTGGATGCAGCTCATCAGGTCCCATGGACTTGTGCATGTTGATTTTGTTTAAATGTTACCTTATTGTAGCCAAAACTCCATACTTTTCCACTAATCTCATGGTCTCAGGATTCCTAAGTCTCACCAGTAGACTGAGACAACAAAGGCCTGAGTAGCCTTGCCTCTTGCACTCATTTCTCACCTGACTCCCTTGACTCCCTGTGCCATTCAGCAGCAGTCGTCCTAACGCCCCATAAAAGCTCTATCTGTTGCATTTGATGTCCTTTGACAGACTGAGCTCCAGGTGGGCTTTGTTTTCCTGACCCCATCCCTGCATGCTCAGGGACTGTGTCTCTGTTCTTCCTTGGTCTTCTGTCTGTGCTTGCACTTGCACCTCTTATACACCTTCATGTTATACTTTTGTTGGTTTGTTCATCCATGCAGGCTTCCCATCACATTCACTCTCCTTTAAGTCAGGATATATCATTCTTCAGGGAAGGAGTGGGGAGGAAAAATCAATTAGCTGTCCTGGACACCTCTGCTCTTTGACACTGTATCCCATGGGATTCTTTCAAGTAGGTCTCTGATGGGACAGAGTCTACTCACATGAAGTCCAAATTCATGACTCAACCTAGTCTATATTCTGAGTCACAGACCATCAAAGTGGGGAAACAAGTGCAATGCAGAACTCTGGCAGCACCTAAGACAGGCCATAGTACATAGGTCCATCAAAAAAGATTATTCAGAAGACTCAAAATTGAATTTAGCTACCACACCAAGATATACTAAGAATAGTCAGACATTCATATAATCCTCTTTCAACTCTGCTAGTCAGAGAGTAACCACCATCCTTACTTTTTGAAGGCAGCATCTCCTAACTGTGATGCAAGGCCTTCTTTGAGGGGACCTCCATTCCCTCTGCAAATGCTGGTAAGAGTAAGGCATTGCATGTGGTACACACTCACTAGGACAGGTTCATTTAAGATACAGTGCTCTGAAGCTTTAAACAAGAACAGGAATAGTAATCTCTGGAATAAAAATTCTCACTAGTAATTCCTTTTAAGAGGAATATAAATGTTTTGGAGGTTCTCAGGCCCTCTTATTTTTTTTCTTGCCATTAGCATCTAGTGTCAGAAGATGCAAAATGTTTCCTTCTAACCAGTTCAAAGCAAGGTATAGCCTTTAAAGAGGGTAAAAAACATTGTCTCACAGGAATGAGACTGTCTCCTTTTAAAATAGGTCAAGAAAAGTCTTGAGATTTACTCTGAGCAGCCATTCTGCACTGTTGAAGCAAGGAAAGAGATGGAGTCACTGCCAGCCCCTACTGCAAAGGGCCTTGAAGATTATGTCAAACTACGTCGTGTACCGAACATTGAACCAGTGTACAAAACCCAGACAACTGCTGTATCTGTTCATTAGCAGGCATGAGCAGAAGGAAGACAAGATGAGACACTTACTGTATCAAGCATGTCTTTGGTATGTGCTGCAGACAAACAGAATCTGGCTCTGGACTCGATGATGGGGGTGGCAGGGAAGCCCACGACCACAACACCGATGTTCCGCTTCAGCATCTCACGCCCGAACGCACTGCCAGAGAGAACGAGAGCGGCACAATTATTCCAGTGGTGCCAGAGCAGGAGCATGAAGGACTCAGAATGGTAACCCATGCAGGCCTTTGTTGCAGCAAGGCTGTCAGATCACAGTTTGGAGCTTCCAGTGCTTTGGCAGAAATGCCTGATCACAAAAGCCTTTTTAAAATTCAGTCCCAAGGTGGTCCTTCTCAAACAGTTTCAGTGTATTAAGTTAAGATGAAAGATTATATGTGGCAGAGACTGGTCTTTTAGCAGGCTGTTTCTAAATGGATTTGTAACTTAAGCTCGGAAATCGTTCCAATAGGAAAGAGTGATTTTGGCTCAGAAGTTTGACTATACAAGGAATCCCTCATGCTGCAATGCCCCAAAATGGACGTTTCTGCAATTTCAAGATGTTTTGTTTTCATGAATTTAATTTGATTAATACATTATTGCATTACAGAATGTATCACTTTATAAGTATCACAGTAGCCACTGAATCACCACAGTAAATTGAGATAATCTAATATGACAACTAATATTCGTAAGGAAGGTGCAAAAATATCATACAACTGTCACACACTATCTTCAACAAAACAAATTCTAAAGAAGATTAAACAAAGTAGTGGCACTATACAATGAGAGGCACAAAGATCTCGATCAGATCTGTAATGGCAGTGCAGTTGGGGGTGTTTCTATAGGCCACAGGAAATGGTTAATCCTTTTTGAACTGACCTTGTTGTGAGAAGTAGCAATGAATTTAAGAGGTTTATAAGGACATATAAAAATAACATTCTTTTACTAGGTCTTTAAATCTTCTGCCACATCTATTTTACTTATAAACAGGTGCATCCTGATACACTTCATTTTGTAACCATTTAGTACTCTCAAACCATTTTAAAAACAGGCTACAAGGGACAAAGAAAGGATCAAGTAAAACCGATGCAGATCCTAAGGGCCAACTCTCATCAGAGCTCTCTGTTCTAATTCATTTTAAGCAAGATGCTGGCCCAACTGCTTAGCTAAGAAATATTTCCATGTACGTTTCCAAGGAAAAGATTATATTGACTGGTAGAGAAGCTGATTAGTGGAAACTGCTGCCATTGGGCGCTGGAGGGGTAGTCTGTAGCACCCAAAAAGGTAAAAGGTCTTTTAAAACTTTGTTACACTGGGAAGGGTGGAGAACCCTAATTTAGCTTCATAAAAAGTGCCAGACTGAAGCTTGAGCTTGTGAAGCACTAGAGATGTTCAGTACAGCTTAAAATGAAATTATGTTTTCCAAATTTGAAAGTGTTGATTGAGCACTGCATTACAGACTCTGAAAAGTAGTGAACAAAGCCAAGCTGTCCTTGAAATCAGGTTTTTGTTTATGTTGAAAAAAATTGTCAATATATACTTTATATATCCTCCTTGCAAAATTTTAGCCTTAATTATCCACACAGCACCCCACAAATCGGCAAGCACTTACAAACCCATGAACTACAGTTGTTTCAGTATTTACAATACCAGTATCTGACTGATTGCATCTAGATCTCTTAAAAACTTGGGATTCATTAAATACATGTTGTTGTGTCCCATCATGTCTTGCCCCAGTGTTTTTCCTTTTCTAATTTTCAAAGTTCATCAATGAAAATGTTGGCTTCTTGTGGTCCAGGAGCTAGCTGAAAGACTTCCTCCAGTGACTTTTAATGTTAATTTCCATTCAATTTCAGCTCCCCTTTAGCAAATTTATATACTTTACATATAAATATAATGGAAATACACAACCCAGCCTTTAAAACATGACACAAAGAAGCAAAATTGCTTCCCTGAAGTGCTTTCCTGATGCTACAAGCTTCGATTTTCTCAAAGTTTCCATATTTTATAAGACTCAGTAATGATCATAAAAGCAAAAATCAAACTAATCTTTTCTTGTATTTAGAAAACTCTTCATATTCTTACACCAACCTAGCTTTAAAGAAGATGGGTAAGAAGTTATGCTGTCAAACTTACCCAATTTTTGCTGGCATGTACAGCATCAGAGGCACAACAGGGGAATCTTCATTTCCATAGATGATAAAGCCCATCTCTTTCAGTCGTCTCCTGAAATATCTCGTGTTCTCCGCTAGCTGCTGCACACGTGCTCTCCCTAGAAAAGAATTGAAGGTGAGACTGAATTCAACTGTCATAAGTCACATCCATAACTGCAATACAAGACCTCAAATTAAAGTACAAGACATTAATGTCCCGCTTGTGCTTATGGAAGCGTTAAAAATAAATGCAAATTGAGATTTGCAGTTTCTTCTCCTTCATGTAACCAAGATTAATCATGCATTTTCTGACAAATCTAAATGGACTAGGAAAATGCACAACTATCAAGTCCAAGCACTGCCTAGTTTTCTCATATCAGGTTCTCTTTCAATCAAGAGGTACCCGGTAAAAAAAGGGCAGCTTTTAAACAAGATTCCAAGTTTTATCAGAATTCACTAGTAACTGCGTCTTGAAGGAGACTTTGCTTACATTTTGACTAATTAATGGAAAAGCTATTGAATCAGCTGGTGTTGTTCACCATGTTTTACCCTGCTTGCCTGCATTATTATAAATTACTACTTTTCTCTTTAGATCTCTTTGCTGAACTATCACGTGGCTGCTCCTTAACCTTTTCCAGTTAAAATGAGCTGGGTTTAAATTAAACTGATTACTTCTGATAATCCAGCTCACTTCACTTAGGTGGCAGCAGCCAATTTATGATGTATTCAGCCATTTCCACAGGGATTCTTTGATATTTGTCAACATTAGTACACAGGACATTAGACAGCTAGTACCATTTAAATATTTCAGATGTTCAGATATATGCCTAGAACAACCTATTTCTCAGTTAATTGAATTCTAGCCTAGCACACTGTACTGCATTCCTGTATTGCTCAGAAAAAGGCTCACATCATCTCACTTAAGCAGATCATAATAAATTTCTGATCAACTAATACTCTAATGTGCTTAAGAGATTAAGCACTATGCCATTGATAAGACTATAATAAGTAACACTTAAATCACTTGTCTCTGATCCACAAAGTATATTTCTGGATAACTGATTATCCAAACACTGCCTTGCCCAGGCAGGTGATTCATAAACTGAACCCTTAAATGTACAGCATGCAGATCTAGGCCACAGTGAAGGTGGCTGCTAGACATTAATAATCTTCCTTTAAGGCTGTAGATAACATAATGTGATTAACTAACAGGAATGCCAGGTCTCAAAGAAACATCCAACACCCACGGAGCTCTGCTCCAAGCCAGAACAAAAGTCATTTTAAGAACCTATATAGTATTTGTTGCCAAGAGTATCAGACATTCCACCCACAAACAGGCAATCAAAAGCAAAATCCCATCAAAGACATAGCATAAGAACAAAAAAGGTGAAACCTGTTAAGTTTGCAAAACTTGGCCTATCATTAGTGGGTAGAAGCTGGTATTTTTAATAGTACTGGCTGCCACTTAAGACATCTCTTCTTCTCCATTAACAGCATTATTTATTAATCTTTTCTCCCCCCAGAGTTTCTCCAGAAGCTTAATTCCTCTTCCCCAAAAAGCAGTAAGATTTCAGTAAAACACAAAGGCTTCTTGAACTTATGAAACTAAATTTTTAATTTATTCACATGAGATCAGATCCTCTACTGCAGACCTAGCTTTCTCTTACGTTTTCAGACCAATTATTTGGTCATTTAAAATAACCCAGATTGCAAAACGAAGTTGAAAAGAAGAAACAAACTCAAATTAAAAGAACTAGGCTTACTGCAACATATTAAAAATAGTGGGCCAAAAGCTACTACTTGCATTTCTAATATTGAGGCAATCAATAAATACACAAGTGTCCACAGCAAACTATGTGCAGAAAAAAATCTATTTTGGTATCTGCTAAGAAAGTTGCATCTGCACACACATAGAAATGCAACAATTTGTGTTATGCCAGGTCAGTGATGTACAATTTCATCAAAATACAAATCAGATTTCAACAGTATGGAGTAATAAGGTAACAGACATAGCTGCTGCGATCAGCCCCTCTTCCAGGACAAGGAATGCAGCTTTTGCCATGCATACATCTTCTCTGTGTTCCCATAAAGCATGGAGTTTACAGTGTTGAAGCAGAAGGAATTTCATCACCTTAATGGTTTTCCCCTCCATACATTCACACCCTTTTCCATGTTGTTGGGAGCCTTTCAGACTAAAGATTAAAGAGCAATCTTAATTTGTAATTGGCAACCACTTCAGAGTCTTCCCTCAACTCCCACCAATAAAAAAAGGTTATGATTCTAGATTTGTCTTTATAGATTGAATCATGCTTTGTAATGTCAACAAATCTCAAGAACAAGTCTTTCAGTTCTCTACAGAGATGTAATAACCTACTGACAGATTTGGAAGATGTTGCCTTCTTCAGGTTTGTGGGTCTCAAAAGTCTATCAGCTTTTACTTCACTCTAGAGCCATCAGGTAATTTAATGAAATTATTATTTCTTTAAAAACTTGTGGCTACAATGGTATTACCAAGAACTTGAAAATATATTCAGTGGCATCTCTACCCAATGGCTCACTACCCATCACAAGTCATTACCATCTGAAGAGAACTGCAGTTGTGGTGAAACAAAGCACTAGGAATCAAACAAAAATTGAGCACAGGTTCCTTGTCCTCTGCTTGCCTTTCTCCCTGCATTCTGTGCAAGTATTCTTCTCTATACTTCAACATGTTTAGTCTCCTACTCCACTATAAAATCCTACACTTGGAAGAGTGATTCCACATGCTAATTGAATAAGGTTTGCAATATTATGCAACAAGCATAAACCCAGTGTTTGGCTCTACTAACATTTGCTGGTTCAGCTTCATTGGTACACACTGGTGTGGCAGGCTGTTGACTGCTAGTACAATTCCACCGTGTTTTCTGGGACCACAAAGACAAACCAAGCAGTGCTGGAAACAGCAGTGAGTAGGTATCATTGCTAATCCCACTCGCTTGAGCACTCAAACGGGACCTCTACATCCCTTCCCAGCCCAAGCATCTCCTGAAGGCTAGAGCCTAGAAAAATTGCCAGGACTGTATAAATTCTCCAGCAACTGGCTTTTTTGGCAGTATGCAGCTGCATTTTTTTAGACCACGCAAAAAAGGCCAGATCAGACACCACTCTGCCAATTGTTCTTGCATAGAAGTTGTGCAATGATTCTGGTAACATCCTTTCATCTAGGGAACTGGAATGTGATGACCTTCAGCAAAGGAAGGAAAGGGGGAAGAAAGGGATGATTACTGGAACTGAGCTCTTCAAAAGGTTAAAAAAACTAGAACTGTTTATCAGATCAACTCAAGTCCCTTATAAGTCCTGTAAATGGCTTAAACTAGCTACTGACGGAGAAACATTGAAATTAGAGGATAACTAATAACTTTTCCTGTATTTCTACACCCTTTTGCAAGTTTACTGCAGTCATATCAAGATTGCTCTTAAAATTTAGTAAAACACTTCCTTGCTTGTAGTAGCCTGGGCATCATTTAGTCTAAAGTGCAAATATATCTCCCAAAGAACATGCTGACATTGTATCAGAAGTAAAGGTCACACGCCAGCGAAAGGGGAAAAACACTCTCCTGTTACAAACATACAATACAAACATACAATGCAAGAAATATTCTTTAAAAACTGCAGCTAGCATGTTCCTGAAAAAAAATAAAATTTCAACACTCTAGAGAAAGTACTCCATTATGAATCTGAAAGCACATGAGATGCATATTGCAACCACTGGAAGTAAATTATTTTCTTTGCTAGAACAGGTTCCCACAGGCTAAAATAATGAGATTAGCTCAGATAGTTAGAGCACGGTGCCAGTAATGCCATGGTTGTGGGTCCAATACCTGTATAGGCCATTCATGTAAGAGTTGGACTTCACAATCCTTGTGGGTCCCTTCCAACTCAGGATACATAGTGAATCAGTGAAGAATACTTCACCACTTGTGAAGATGTCTGCTTTAGAGGTCATAATGCTCAGAAAGGCAGAAGTTATAATAAAAATAGGAAGCAGAGAAGGCAGTTACTGAATACCTTCTTGTCAGGGACGAGACCAGTCCTCAGGAACTTCTGGCCCAGAACACCAGGAAAGGTAAAGGAGTAAAGGGATGACTCTCCCAGGTGAAGGAGGATTGAGTTAGAAAAAACCTAGGCAGACCTGACATCAACAAGTCCATGGGCCCTGACAGGATGCATCCACAACTGCTGAGAGAGCTGGTGGACACCACAGCAAGGCAGCTCATGATAATCTTTGAAAATCCCAGGAAAGGTGAGGGAGCACCTCATTCTGGAGACCATCTCTATCCACAAGAATGAAAAAGGTGATCAGGAGTAGTCAGCATGGATTCATTAAAGGTAAATCATGTTTGACAAACCTGACTGACTTCTATGATGAATCAACTACCTGGATGGATGAGGGGAGAGAATGGATATTGTCTACCTAGAATTCAGCAAGACTTTGGACACTCTCTCTTATGATATCCTCACAGGCAAATTCAGTAAGTGTGGAATGGATGAGTGGACAATGAGGTGGACTGAGAACTGGCTGAACAGACCCCAGAGGCTCATAATCAGTGGCACGGGGTTGGATACCTGTCACTGGTGGTGTCCCCCAAGGTCCAATACTGGGCACAGTATTGTTTAACTAATTCATCAATAACTTGGATGGAATAGATCGATACCTCCTTAGCCAGTTCACTGATGACATAGAGCTGGGAAGAGTGGCCATTCTCCGGAGGGCTGTGCAGCCCCTCAGAAGGACCTCAACAATTTGGAGAGATGGGCAAAGAACAGTCTGATATTCAACAAAGGCAAATGCAGGGTCCAGCATCTGAGAAAGAATAACCCCATGCACCAGTACAAGCTGTGGGCCAACCTGCTGGGAAGCAGCTCTGTGGAGAAAGACAAGGGGATACTGGCGGACAACAAGTTGTCTGTGAGCCAGAGTGTGCCCTGGGGGCCAGGAAGGCCAACAGTGTCCTGGGGGTGCATTAGGAAGAGCATTGCCAGCAGGTCAAGGGAGATGATCCTGCCCCTCTACTCAGCCCTGGTGAGGCCACAGCTGGAGTGCTGTGTCCAGCTCTGCTCCTCAGTCCAACAGGGACAT